ATCATTACGTCACCGTTAGTTTCACTTTCTGTTTAAATTGTAGATTCTTTTAATAACGTCTCTCTGTTTGCGACAACTAAGAAGTGTTTTGCGACAGCTAAGAAGGGTTTTGCGACAACTAACAAGTGTTTTGCGAAACTAACAAGTGTTTTGCGAAACTAACAAGTGATTTGCGACAACTAAGAAATGTTTTGCAACCACTAAAGAGTTTGGCGACAATTTGAATCTTCTTCTGCATGTTATGCAAGACTATTTTTCTGATAAATTAATTTGTGGGATCCTATTACTGTGCGAAAACTAAGAACTAAGAAGTGTTTTGCCACAACTAAGAAGTGTTTTGTGACAACTAAGAAGTGTTTTTCGACAACTAAGAAGTGTTTTGTGACAACTAAGATGTGTTTTGTGACAACTAAGAAGTGTTTTGCGATAACTAAGAAGTGTTTTTGCGACAACTAAGAAGTGTTATGAGATACATTACTACATTGACTTTTGTGTTCCTCAATTTTGATGAATTGTGGGAGATGAATCGTACTTTATTCGAATGTGGTTAACGAAAATCAGTAGAGTTGAAGGATGGCAGAGCGTACGACATTACGTCGACATTGGAAAGGACAGTTAAACGGAGCAGCGCCAAAGTTAAATGCAAACATTGCGACAGATGGTTCAAAGTTCAACAATATTTGGACAGCTGCGTACAATTCAAGCACCCGCATCTATAAAAACATTGACTATTTTTGTAGACATCAACAACCACTCAGGTGAAACCAACATGCACAGAATGGCTGAGAGTCAACAGCAGCTGAGGATGTGCCACGTGAATTGGCCGGTGTTGCGTAAGGTCAAACTCAAAGGCGAAGCAACACTCGAAGGGGAAGTAACAAGCGAAAGTCCTACATCGTCGTATTCATAAAAAAAAAACACTCGATCTTTTGGATTCACTGAAATTATCAACAAATCAGTACAACACAGTTGTAAAACAACAAGGAGTCACCAGATCGCTGGAAATAAAATGGGAAGAAAACAGAGGCAAAATTCTTGCAGAACTGACTATGAACAGGACAAAGAAGAACACAGATGACACAAAGCCAATGAAACAAAGGTAGAGGATCGCTAAGGACAGGTCCTCATGCACTGATAAATATCCTCTGGCTTCCAATCTTTTACTCGCCAAGTTTAAACTACGGAGAGCAGCAGGAAGCAAAGTGTCCAAACTTTGGTTAAAAAGTAATGAAATTGAAAATTGAAGCATGCTATGGCGCAGAAGAAGCTGCAAAATTTAAGGGAAGCAGCAACTGGTTCCAGAGATTCAGAGAAAAACACAACACATTACTGAGGAGAAGGATCAACTGGTAAAAAAAAAAGACTGGGCAGAAGATGGCCGGGATACGATCCAGAAATTCCATAGGGATTTGAGGAAAGCCTCGAAAACACAAAGGAGAAGAAACAAGTCCCATACAGTTGACCCAA